AAATAAAAATTCAAACTTGAAACCTAGCAATATGTACACCAACAGCTACACCGTTAGTTCCCCGGCAACGACGCTAAAATTTAATCACGCCCAACTACGCCTTATAAAAAGGACTAAGCGGTCGTTGCAAATATAATCCGGTTTACAAGTCCGGAGTCTAGTCCCACAGAGAATAAGGCTTTGCTACAACTGTTCAATATTGCTAGAAGACAAGCTCGAATAATTCCTATGTTATAAATATTAAGATTCTTGTATCTAATTAACTAACAAACTAAATTAGTAGATTAACAACTAGTGATACTAAGGGTTGGAGACAAGAATAAGGAGGTCTAGAGTTATGATTTCCCTATTGTCGGAATCCTTTCCCCTATGTCTTCTATAAATTTGTCTAAGTCTTCTCTACCGATCATGAGCGCTTTGACTGTCGTAACTGTTTTCCGAGTAATTACCACAATTTACTAGACATATTCTCCCGAACTACGCTACTAGCATTAAGTACGGCTCACTCGGATCGCACCCAAGGTTTCGTTATCCCTAATCCCACCTTTAAACCCTCCGTATTGATCCATCATATACGCTAGGAGTGATGTTATTCAATAACTACCTAAATGTGCACTCTCTCCTTAGTAATACACACTAAATAAGCACAGTTGATTGAGAGCTCTTCAAACAACCACAATAATAACGTAGTTGAACAAATAGAGAAATTACTACAACAAATCTATATTAACGTAACGGGATAATCATCCTCCAAAAGGTTCTATCAAAACCCTAGATAACAAATTAGCTATTCATAATAGTATGCAAAACTCCAATACTAAAATTCATAACCAATAATGGAAAATAGGAAGAAGGCAGTGAAAAACTCATAGAAGAATTCTCCGCCTTGCTCCTAGTGTGTTCTTGTCTCCTTAGGTCGAATCCCCGGTCTCCGCGACGGCTCCGTGCTCTCCCTAGGTCTAAAGTATATCCAAACTCGATCTTCTTCTTTCTCTGTCCAAAACCTCCCAAAAGTGACGTTTTTAGGTCTATTTATATGTTTAGGACAAGACCTAAGCGTGTAGGTCAAATCCTAGTCAAACCGGGAAATAATTAAAACCTTCAAAACTCGGACTGGGCCTAGCCATAGGCCTGGCGTCGCCTGGATAACGCCAGCCTAGGCCTGGCTTTAAGCTGGCCTCGCCTGGATAAAGCCAGCCTAGGCTTGGCTTTAAGCTGGCCTCGCCTGGATAAAGCCTGGTCGAGCTGGCTTTTGCCTGGCTTCTCCTTTTCCCTGTTCTCGAGCGCACTTTCGGCGTTTAAGCATCCCTTTAGCTCTACTTTTATTTTCGATGCACCTACACATAAAATAGACTCCATTACGCGTAAATAAAGTGTAATTTATTATCAAAGCATGTAAAATGCAAGGCACATAATGTACGAACTATGGAATTATAGCCACACATCAGTGGTGACAAATTGAAGAAGTAAAGTGGGAGACCTTTGACTTCTGAGAAGACTTCAAAAGTTTGTTAACGAGAAAGTTTTTCAACATGTACTTATAGATTTGTGTCATGGAACACTCAAATTTTTAATTTTTTTCTCAAATGAGATTAGATATTTTTCATAAATTCATCATTTTTGCCCTCCTATTTGTGAATTATTTTAATCAGATGAATCATTTATTTCCTGCGGGAGTATGATATGAATGTTTGACTTGATAGCAACTAAAATAATTGTGCTTCCTTGTATCATTAATAAAGAAAGGGGGATTATTTCTTCGGATATGCAAATTTACACCTAGAAAGAAGGTTTGGATGTCTGCAGTGCTTATGTGGGTTTGTATGTTGGCGATGGTTCGATCTGTAAGGGGGTGGATTTTGGGTCGAATAATGTTTTTTAAAAAGTGAATCGGGTTAAAAAAGGGAGATGGGTCGATTTAATCCTGTGCTGCCACGTTGGATTCCATCCAAAATGAGGGTATATTTGTTTCATAGTATAACGGTAGTGTCCGAAATAACCCGATAGTATAACGAAGGGTATATTTAAACTATTTTCGATAGTACATGGATATATTTGACCCTTTTTCGTTTCTAGTTTGTACTTAGATCAATTTGTAGATGATCATAACTTCTTTCTCTGTGTTTCTAGGCCTCGGTACTTTACCATGAGACTTTTCTTCGGTATCGGGAAGAGATAACCCAATATGAGGCCGAGATTCGAGGGCTCACTGAGAAGAGAGATGCTTACAAACTCCTCAGTGAGCAACGTGAAGGGGATGCTAAGAGCCTTCGAGCTGAGCTAGAGGTGGCTCAGAAGGAGCATGTCGACCTGGTCGAGCAGGTAAGAAGAGTATTTGAGTTTAGTGACGATGAGTCAGACATGGTAACTAACCGTCCGAACCCGCAGGTCCAACAGAAGCTTGATCAGATCGAGCAGCTCCAGGCAAAGATGGATGTGGTAAAGGCCGAGGACGAAGAATGAAAAAGCAAAATAGACCACTTGGCATCGGAAAAGGAGACTGCCCGGGCACAATTGGCTTCGGCTGAGGTCTAGCTTCGAGCTGTAAAGGAAAGGGCCTTGGTGCCGGCTAAAAAGATTGAGGAGCTCCAGTCTCAGCTGAGTTCGGCCGTCTCCTATCAAGAAAATCTGGCCAAGGAGCTTGAAACGGCCAAGTCGGAGGCCGAGGTGGTTAAAGTCGATGCTGGTGAGATGGTGGCCGTTTATAAGGCCGATGCCGAGGCGGCTCAGGTTCGAGCAAAGGATATCAGCGAGCACATGAAACGGCAATCTCGAAGGGAGGCTCTCGAAGAAATTCATGCTCGGGGTTTCGACTTATCGGCTGAGATTGAGAGTGCCAAGGAGCTCGAAGCCGAGGCCAAAAAATTGTCCTATCCCAAAGATGATGAAGATTATGAAGATTTGGGTGATTCCTAGGGTGGATTAGACCCCGAAGGTCTTGGTGATGAGGGGGGCTCCGGTGAAGACCAGGACATTTAAATGCCTTGTACATTTTTCTTTGTTTTTTTGTGTCTTTGTACTTGTGTATTTTTCTTTTTGTTGAGGCCGTTAGGCCTTTGTGAAAATTTGTATCGAGGCCGTTTTGGCCCTTGTTAAAATCTTTTGATATGTATATAAAGCTTTTTCCCTCCAGCAATTTCCTAGTTTTTTGCTTTATTACTTATGTTTGCAAAGATTAAAATGCCTTCGCACGAAATAGTTAGGCTATGTTCGGAGGTTCGAACAAGCCTTTCCTTTAATATTATTTTGTTTATGGCATCGTGGGGGTTTGGTATGACCGGAAATTTCCCCCCAAAGTACTTATACTTTGTTAGATTATAGTTTGCCGAGGGTAGCCTTTAGAACCAGTTAAGAAATTTTAAGGCCTTGTTGTTTTTGTTACGGGTCTCGGACGTCTCCGAGCCGTGTTAATATGGACGTAGCCTTTTTAGTTAGGGTGTTTCCCAGTGGGCTCGCTATCCCGAGTTATCTGGGCTTGCCTAAGATAATAGCCCCCGAGTGGGGATGGTCGTAGCCTTTAAATTCGGACATTGCGTAATAGGTCTTATGCCCCCGAGCTCCGATAGCTCGAACTGTCCGAGTTTGTTTTCGGACGACAGTCCCCGAGTGAGAGTGATTGTTCGAACTCGGATTAAGGTGGCCCTTGGGCTAGATACCTTTAGGGGATCGGATGCAGGAAATTCTTTGAGAAATGCAAGAAAATTTTTAAAGGATAAGATATTTATCCATAAGGAAGAGACTTCTTTTTATTATTTTGCATAATAGTTGTACATGTGTGCATTCTTTGTGCCAAGGCTCGAGCAATATATGCGGGCACAGTTCATTTGACCGTTTGGCCCTTGCAATAAATCCTATTGATCGAGATCCTTCAACCATAAAGTTTCTTTCCTTCATAAAGTCGATATCCGAGGGTAATGTCCCCGAGTATTCGAGGTTGATCATAGAGAGAAGCCTCGGGTACTGTTGATGCGATCTTTGACACCGATTCACGTGGACGGTTAGTTAATCTTTCGCTCGAGAGCAAAATCACTATTAGGGAGTTAAGTTTGCTCTCGAACAAAGGTTACCCAACCGTTCACAAGTGCAAACCATTAAGGGATTGTTAGATAGTCTTTGGCTCGATAGCATAAATTCATAAGGGGAAGCGAAATCTGTTACCGAGTTGGAGATTGTCTAGCAATTCATTAGTGCGGTCCTCAAATTTGCAAAGCTTCCAGTGTTCCAATTTGCATTTTTCGCATTCGAACACTGGGGGGAATGATACGAGGATACGGCAACAATGACTGTCACATCGATCGAGAAACAAAAATCGGAAATATAGTTGTATCATCGGAACCAGGGACTGCGCGGCCAACTTGTAGAAACAAGTTGTACAAGTTAGCCACAAGAAATGGCAATTTCTTCTTAGCATAACGAATGCTTATGTACTTTTTGAAAATGGAAGGAATAAAGTGAAGTCCTTTAATTTCTATCTTGTTTCTTGTCTGAACGATGAACTGACTTTGTCATTTGAAAGTTAAACAAGTACTTCAAATGCTAGTGCCGTAATGAACATGAGACATCCTCTTCAAGAGAACCGTAAACATAAGAGGGGCCTTCCTTATAAACCCCTCACGTTAAAGGATTGATTTCGGAAGAACTTATACCCAGAATCCAAATGCCTTCGAAAACAATAGACCTGAAGCCTTGCACAAAAAGACGCAAAAAGCAAACTTGCGCAAATACTTGTGAAAACCCTCACGTTAAAGGGTTGATTTCGGATGAATTTTTGCCCGAAATACAAATTCTTTTAGGGGAAAATACACCCAAGGTCTTACATAATCAGACACAAACAGTAAAACTTGAACAAAACACTTAAGCAAAAAAGAATGCAAAGGTTAAAACTTGCATAAATAAAGAATGCAAAGAGACTCATATAATACTTGTGCAAAAGATGTTTTTATTTACAATAAACATGCAAAAACTGCATAGGTACAAAAGCTAAGAAAAGAAAGGAAAAGCTAAACTGCTGCATCTCCGGAGCGCGGAGGAAGTGAAGCGTCCGCACGCCCGGGGGAAGTGGATAGATCCGCCGCCGGTTCGATATCTTGGCCTTCATCATTTTTTCCCTCACCATCATCACCTTCCGGTTCCTCTTCAGTTCCCGAGAACTCAAAATCGGAACTAGAAGAATCGGTAGCATTAGGCCTGGCCGGAAGACCTCTTTTTGCAGCTAACTCCAGCTCATGGGTCTTAGCGATTTCGGCATCAAAGTCAACAACACCCGCTTTAGCCTCTTCAAAGGTTTTTTCTTCTCATGCTATACATAGAATGCGTTTTCTAAACAATGAGGGAAGCCGCTCAACGCTGAAGTTCTTCTTTAAGTTGGTTAACCTTGGCAGAAAGGTTCTCCCATGCGAACCTCACGGACCGGAGGCTAACATCGAGATCACGAACAGTAGAGCTGAAAAGTCTGTTATGCTCGATGGTCCTCCTATACTTCTCTTCCAATTGGGCATATTTCACCCCAGCAACAGCAAGCTCTTCGGCTTTGGAGATCAAGGTTGCCTCTAAATTGGTCAATCTTTCAACGGTGGCAGCCTCACGTTCGGATGCAACAAGAACGACACTATGGACCTTAGCCCATTTGGCTTTGGCCTCATCAAATTGAACCCTCAGCAGACCGATCCCTTGGCTAAGGGTTTCCACTTCTTACTCACTTTGCTGCAAACGATCCTCTAACGCAACAACCTCAGCAACTTTGACTTCCAATTCTGAGAGGCGAGCAATAGTTTGCTCCCGCTCGGCCAAAAGTTGATCTCGTGCGGAGGTAAGTTCTTCTTTCTCTCGAATCAACCTCTGGAGGCCCTCGTAATCAAGGAAGTTGGCCTACAAAACAAGAAAGGCAAACTCAGGGTATTTCGAGTCAAAGACAGAAGAAATGACAAAAGAAGTGAAGAATGTACCGCTGTGGTGTTGTGCATGGCATTGTTCAACAAGCACTCTCCCGAGAGAGCCTGTATCTTTTCCCAATCTTTTTCTGAAGGTAAAGGCTTCAGATAGTTAGCAAGTTCCACCGACCGAGATAACAAATTGCACTCAGTGGTGACCGAGAAAGCAACGCTCATCCTCTCTTTGCGGATCTTCTGAGGGGGGAGCATAATTTTGCCCCAAATTCCCATGATGGGACTGGGGAAGAGGAACATCTTCTTTTCGGGCAGATGCGGCTGGTGGAGATGATGTAGTAGTTGCTGGTGGAAGAGTTGGTGAAGAAGGTGATGAAGCTGATGGCGTTGAAGGGTGAGAAACAGTTGCGGCAAATGCAGTGCTGGTTGTTGGTTGCTCATCAACCAAAGACGGCAGGGGCCCGGTATTTAGCCCCATGGTACCGGGCGTAGCAACTGGGATCGGGCAACGAGAGTTGGCATTTTCTACCATTTCGAACTCCCTCCAAAGCGCCGAGACATCGTCCTCGGTTGGTGTAACTAACTCAACAGGTTGAGCATTCTGTTGAGATGATAAGGATCGTCGTCTTCTATGTAGAGAAGCTCCCTCATCACTAGCTTCTCCATCGTCGTCAATGATTACAGTGTCTATGGACGGCCCAGACGGAGGGCTCGTCACCACAACTTCCAGAGACGACTCAGGGGTGGCATTCTTTGCCCTCTTATTCTTTCCCCTAGCTGCTGAGAAATGCTTTTTTTGGTTGCTTATTCTCCGTCCCGGGACTCCGTGAAGAAATACTTGTACCCGAAGAAAGGTCGAAGACACATGTTCAAGTAAGAGCCTCCTGAAGCAGCCTCGCCGCATCAGTAGGATCAGCCAAAACATCCTCCTCGGGGATGATAACCGAGCCTGGGTGTAGACCTTAATTCAGAAAAAAGGGAGAAAGGTTCAATCAATTTCCTCACGTAAAAAGCAGAAACGAGATGAATCCAAATTATCATAATTTTTGGCCTTCCACCTGTATTTAAGGGCCAGTTCTTTCCACGTACGGGTCTCGGGCATAGTGACGTCCAAGATTTTCTGGACCCACAGGTCCAAGCCTTCAACCCTATATGGAACCTATCGAGTTGCTGTAACAAGTGAAGGAACGGGGATCATACAGATATGAAAAAATTTCTAATGAAAGAAATATTAAACAAGGAGCTTACGAGTGTTGTTCTATGATTCCGGAAAGGATGAAGCCGTTGCCGGAATAATATCATTGGTGGCAACTGCAACGAACCGTTCCATCCGCCCACGATCGTTGTCATCATCCATGCTAGATAATAAAGCATGGTGGCCGCGTTTGCTAAAGTTTATCATTCCCCCGCAGAAGTTTTTGGGGGAATAGAGATTCATCACATAAGCTAAGGATATCTTATCTCCCGTATCTTGGCACAAACGATGAAGACAAGCAATCGTCCTCCACATAGAAGGGCTTACTTGTGCAAAACACATTTGGTAGCGGAAGTAAAGCTCCACAATAATGGAGTCAAGCTCTCCTTTCAACGCCCCCAAAGTAAAGGGGTACGTGTAAAAGTATATAAAATCCTCCTTGGGTAGGGTTATTTGCTCAGTTAGATCAGGAGCAATTATGTCCAAACTTGGCAGTGACAATATTCCTTCACAGCAGAAATACTGGAAGGATGGATAGAAGAAGGATACCTGCTATCGGCCCATGTACGAGGGCTAACTGAAGGGAATTTATCTTTGAAGTCTTTTGTTGTAACAAGCCTTCTAGGGATGATGGTGCTCACTGTTGGAGGAGCAGCGTCCTCGGCTTTGTTCTTGTTCTTTGAGGAACTGTATTCTTTGAAGAAGAAGCCATTATATGTTATGGAAGAAGGAAAAGCTTTTTCGTTTGAAGAGAGTTAAAGAAAGGTTGAAGAATAGGATACAAGTTGAATAAAGAGAGTTTTAAAGAGTTTGGAGAGTTATGGAGTATGAATGAAGGAGGTTGATGCGTATAAGTAAAGTTTTAGGCGGCTAAATTCGTGGCCAGGATTGCCTCAATAACCGGCAAAGGTTATGCTAAATCGTGGGTTGACGCGTGTTCAGGTCATTAAATGCAGAGAGACATGCGTCTAATCAACCGTCAGAAGCTTTTATGAAGGAATCATAGTAATTCCCGCCAAAATGAGTGTTTCTACCAACTTCCCGGTGACACAAAATTATGTCACCAGAAAGCAGGGAGATTATCTATATAGGGTAAAATATGTTATGCTAAGTAATTGCATATGAAAGCGACATGTGGAGCCGGAGGCAGAAGACAGCCAAAATCGAAGATACTTGTTCCATTTGTTACCGAAAGGAATGATGCTCATAAAGATGTAATAAATGCGTGTCACCCGGTAGCATTTAATGGAGAATATTCTACAACACTTAATACGATGCCCGTTACAAAAGAATATGGCATGTCATTCATGCTTGCCGTTACACATTCTTCAATGGCCCTCATAATTGGCATTAAAGAGGGGCTTGATCCTAGGTCCTTATTCCTTAGGTGTAACTATAAATAGCGAGCTCTATTATCATTGTAAAGAGGGAAATTTCTGGCAAACTTATGTTATAATCTATTCAAAGCTCTATACAATTTTATCTTATTACTTTTTGGTTTCATTATCGCTTTGCCCGGAAGCCTCGCTCCCGGAATTACTATTTCTGCTATTTCATCTTCATATCAAGGCTAAGTATTACATATTTCTTCAATTCTTTTGTTATCTCAGGATAGAATTAATTCACTTGTATAGAAATCACGTATAAATTCAACTGTAACGTTTTACGGGTAAACAACGTGTTGGGTCGATTTTGGGCGGGTCAAAATGGGTTGAGTCAATGACCCGCCCAAAAATTATTTGGGTTAAGATGGGTTGGTTCAAGATGAGCTAAAATTCGGGTCATAACCCAACCCGCCCAACTCTTATTAAGTTTAATTAATATGTATTTTTTCTTATAAATTGTATAATTACTAAGACTTTTTTTTCTTTTGCTATGGTCATATATATTATTCAATGCAAAAAATCTAAAAGTTGAATCTATCAAATTTAAATTATGGATCAGCCGATATCCCGAACTTACTCTAAAAGAAAGAAAAATTACCCTCAACAA